GTCTCTTGTTAATTAGATTTGACCTTTTTACAACTGTTCGGAGTTTAAAGTGGAAATTTGTTTTCATTTTTATACTGTTTTGACAAATATAATTCTTTAAATAAACTAGGATGGGTTTATTAAATGTAGTGTTCACTTTTATCAATTAAATCACATAGCCCATGTACCTAATATGGGGTGACCACTGACTTAGTCATAGATTCACCATACTGTAGTATTAACAAGGTGTGCTTTGTACCATTCTTTGTTTTTCAATTTCCTGACTAATACCATTAATACTTACTTGCAACGTTGTAATTGCATTCGATACTGCGAACATCCCGAATAAAATTGCCATATTTATCAACTTCCAACATCAGTATCAGTAGAATATTAAGCCAAATAAATCTAAACGCTATAATGATAATACCCGATGCACAAGTTTGGCTATTCTGTAGGTACTCTTTGTAGAATAGCAACCAGTAACGCCATCTAGTGAAAATTTTCCACAAATACAAAGAGCGGGAGATAGGTATGTTTGACAAAAGTTTCTATTTGTATCGTTAGAGGACACTTTTATTAGAAATTAATCTATTACAACCCCCTTTAAACATTCTAAGGTAAAACACACACCCACAAATTCGATCCTATTAGTAAGATTTTTTAAATTAAAAATTTTATAACTTCCAAGCATTGGCTCGGATTAAACCTCACGCTTTGACAGTCACGTTTGCGATGACTGTATACCAATACTAATATCAATACGACTTGGAAGATCGGTTAAAGATCGCAAATGAAAAGATTCAGGTTTATAATAGAGCGCTACTGCCTAGTCTTTGTTGAGTATGTATTACTTTCGCTTAGGCGGCTTTAATGATATCCGCGATTAGAAAAGGGGAGATGACAAATGTATCGACACACAACTTATACAAACAAACATACAAACATAACATCACGCCTTTTATCACCGATGGGGTAGGCAGAGGTGCGCATTATGCCACTGTACAATGTAACACCCACTTTTCACTACTTATCTTATGAGTACAATTCCAGACTCCGTGCTACTACTGAGATTTTTTTAAACCCAGTAGTTTTACCTTGTCCGACCCGGAAATCGAACCAATATATATACATGTACAATTAGATACATATACAAATAAGAGAGAAGAGTACACACAACCTCACAAGTGCTGCTCATAACAGTCGGTAACGATGCAAACGAACTTCACAGTCAATTAGAGTTGTGTGATTATTGTGTTTGCAACAAACTGTTCTCACGGGTGTACCGTATATTGAAATCAATATGGTTCTATTTCTGTGGTAAATAATATTATTGTCTTTGTTAAAAGAAGTCAGTACCTACGTATATTATTGTTTTAAGAACTAATAGCAATACCTTATTTAACTGCCTCGTTGGCCGAGGGGTAGCAATTGCGGCTGCCGGGCAAGGGGTTTCGGGTTCGATTCCCGGGTCGGACAAAGTATTACTGGGTTTTTAAAAATGTCAGTCGTAGCACGAAGTCTAGAAATGTGCCCAGTATATGGCAATAGGCTCACCCCCTATTACCTACATGGGACTCATAACTTAATTAGTGAAAAGTGGGTGTTACATTGTAGAGGTACAGTGACATTAAGTGCCGTAATGTACACCTCTGCCTACCCCTTTGGGGATACAAAGTCCGTGATGTTATGTTATGTTATGTGTTATTTTACATCGTTTACATAATATTATATTTATTTTATTCCATAATTATAACCAAAATATTATACGCATTTTCATTTTGCACACATCTAGAATAATTGAAAAAACGGTAATAAGCAGTATGAACTGCTGACTCACGTAACTATTGATGATAAAAATATAACGTTTCATCTATTTATAGACAGTTAATCAATACAGTGACAAAAATTATCTTTGAAGTATAAATAACAAATATACCTACTCATATTTATTACTCATACTCAAGTTCTGAGTTCACGGTTAATGTAATGGTTTGAGTGTTTTTTAAATATTATTTTAATGGGTCTCAGTTGCCATATAAACAATTAAAATAGGCCTTCGACTTAGTTAAAAGTCCTAAAAATCTGCCAACTGTGAATGAATACTATCACGATGCCGTACTATATACCCCGATGAGAAAGTTATACGGCTGTCAGTAGTGTCATGTTAATTACCTCATTTTTTGGTATTAATGTTAACAGCATCCTCTGCCAGTCATCCATTATTAAGACAGTCAGGCTTCCTTAAAGAACAACCAGTGTTTACCCAGTTAAGATTCTGGTTGACAGACCAACCTATCATATTCAATGAAACATAATTAGAATGCCACAGAGCCTTTAAAAATAAAAAAGAATATTATTCTTAAGTACATAGCCAAAATAAGATGTAGTTTCGTTCATAAAACGTGGCCCTTATTTTTGGTAGCTTATCCTTCGCGAACTTTTAATTCATAAATAAGTAAGTATAAATTCATAAGAATTAGTAATTCTTTCATTATAATTGGTTTACAGGCAGCTCACAGCTATCTACTACTATCTAGTTATTTAAGCAATTATTACTGGAAGTGTAACAGACCGAATTATCGTAATCTCGATATAAATCCAATCAATTTATTGATTTCATATTTGCGGCGAAAAATGATTCATAAACGACTTTTCCTTTGAACGGATCGACTTTGAAATTTAACTGCGTACTTGTAGTCATATCAAATGGACACGGTCCTTAGTTGCATTATTTAGGTTAAGTAACTTATAATTAAGTACGACGATATAGAGGTAATTAAGTGAGTGACTTATGGGACACAAGACCAATTGTAACACCCTTGCTATTGCTTAAATTTATACTTATACTAGCGGACCCAACAGACGTTGTCCTGCATATCCACTTGAATGTATAAACAAACATTCATTCAAATTAGTTCAGCTGTTTAGGATAAATAATCTAAACATCGACTACAGCGCCATCTGCCGGGCTGATTTGTGAATCTAAACCATTCCCAGATCCCTTTGAACACACACAAAAAATTTCATCAAAATCGGTCCAGTCGTTTGAGAGAAGTTCAATGACATACACACCCACAGAAGAATTATATATATAAAGATGTCCGACCTGTCAAGCTAAAAGTACCGTTTTGTAAATCACATTTTACAGCAAAGTCCTTGACAGTCTATTGCCAGACTATTTTTTATGGGATAAGTCGGTAAGCGAGTATACAGATGACCTGATGGTAAGCACTCGGCGTCGCCCATGGACATCTGGAGGCGTTACAAGTGCGTTGCTGGCGTTTTGGGGATTAGGAATTTGAGGATTGTTAGGGATTCAGGGATTGAGGAGATTAGGAAAGGGGGAGGGGGAAATTCGGCCGCGGGCATAAAACACGCCATGAAATGTATTTTACAAAGGCTGCGGGCCCGCAACTACGGCAGCGGCGCGGGAGAAAATCGCGCCGTGAATCCTTAGCTTATAACTGTAAAACCTCCGAACCAATCAAGAAGATTGGCAAAAACAAACGCAACCTACTTAGAGCCTACAATAGTATTATTGTGTAACCAAAAAGGTGTTAGTTATTTACACGTGCACCTTCAGTTGTTTCCAAGTATTCAAGTAAACTATGAGTGTACACGAAACATTAGAATACCGTTAAATAAATAGAACTCTAATATGGTGCCAATAGTGTTTAAATTACAGGTAATTTGTACATCTTGAAGGATATTCTGTATTGTAACGGTGCTATTCATAAAATTATTGAGCGTTTTATCTTAGAATAAGAATTATGGATTTAATCTGAATGGTAGATTATTTAAAAACATTAGACACGTATTTTTTATTTTCTTGCGGAAAGGAATAGACCCGAAGATTTATTGATTCAAATAATATCGCATAATGTCACTTCTATGTACATTTTATACGTAGAAATTACGTGTTAGCCCCCACTCCCAAACATTAATTTGTTTTATCTAAGTATTGTTTTATTATACGACAAAATAAAAAAATACGTGTCTAATATTGTTTTTCATTACCTAACTTACGAACTAATTAGATTTTCAATTTTCATACCCTGTCATCATCCCAATTGTGTATAATTTTAAAATGGCAACAAAATTACAATTTAATATTTATTTTTGCAAGACAATAACTTCATAATAAATTATTAAAGAGGTTAGTTATCATGATTGATTCAATGCACGTTACGCACGGAAAAAAATTCCACAGATATTACACCGATATCTGTGGATTGTTTTTTCATTTCATATTCTAATTTCGAATCTTATAAATGTTTTTCTTTTTATTTGTTTCTTTGTTACTTAAAAAAAGGTTTTATGTTGCATTATGGTTGTGAAGATTTAAAATAGTTACTCAAACACTGGATTTAACATAAAACTGATAATGACAAGTTTATGAATGGGATGGGATGGATTTACCCTTCTATAGTCATTAAAAGTAATTTAAAAATGTTGAAGTAGGTACTGATTCTCTTATCTTATATAATATCTTTTAAAAGTAGCAAGGTTCTTTCGGTGTTTTGATAAATCAATCAATCAATCAAAATCTCCAGTTTTTAAATCCGATTTAATAATAAGCCAATTAATGTTGTTGTCCTTTGCTGTATACATGTGCTTCTTTAAAAAAATACTATAAGATCATGATTTAAAAATGTGTGTTAAAAATTTTTGAAGACAGTTTTTTCTATGGTCTTTACCGTAATACTTTTACCAAGATTCAATTCATAGCTGCCCCCAAAAAAATTGACAGTCCACCTTATCTTAAAGAAAATACTAGAATTAGATCAAAGGTTATTATTTTCACACAATTTCTAACGAACAACATTCAGGAATCTATGAAATACTTCAGCACTTAATTCATCAACTGATTTAATCAGAATTTAATACGGTAATCGCGTGCGCAATCTACTAAAATTATAATCTTTGTCCGTAGAGTGGCGCTTATCAATTTATAATCATTATTAATCATACTCCTTACTCAGTGATACATTGACAGTCAGTCAGAAGTCAGTGTTTGTGTCATTCGGTTGTGTTGTGTTTTTATTTTAATGACTTTTGTGTCAGTGCCCGTTTTGTTGACAAATAATGGTGAGTGTTTATTTTTGTGTTTTTGTGGCTTAATGGCAATAATGTCAATCGTGCCTTTTATGTTGCCATGTCGGCAATAGCTGACCTCTGCTGGTTTTCCCCTGATTAAGCGGTATTTTTGTTTAATAAGATTAGATACGTATTGGTGCTCCTGTAATTTGCAGTTTACTTTTCATATTTTGTATTGTCTATTAGATAGATGTTTGGTTTTATGATATACAACTAATTAGCATTGTAATTCTATAAACTAAAGATATATTTACTGTAAAATGCATAACATAACACAACATCACGCCGTGTCGTCGCACTTGCGACCACACATCCAACGAGTCGAGAAAACTTCTGTAAAATACTTGATGAATTTCTTTTATTACATCTTGTTTGAATCCTCAGGAGTTGAAACTTGAAATGTTTAACAAATGTCAATCCACTCCGCGATCTATCAATAATCAATTCGCTACTATTATTTTTATTGCTAAAAACACATATCGTCGATTAAATGGAAAAATGGCATTTCTCAAATTTTTTGGAAAATAAGATTATTGCATAAAACGAGTCTACTAACAAGATTTTTTATACGTAAAAACGACACTTTAAATAGTTTACGCCAAGTTTACCAGATGTCGCAAGTGTCATTTTGATTATCTGTGGTTTTTAATGAAATTAAAAACTTCAAACGTTTATACTGTAAAATTTGTACTTTCTGAATAATGTCATTTTTCTATTTAACCGACGATATGTAATTAAAGTAATGTACTTAACAATAGTAATTAATGTACCTAATTTGAACTGTATTATTCTATGTTACCACCTAAGTAAAACATTGTGGAACGCAATAAAGAATTTGAATTTCCTTTGTAGCAAGATTAGTACATTACTCTCAGTTTAAGAGAAATGATATCATGAAAAACGCATTTTCACATTTTGAACTGACGAACTGAGGTTCAATTCCATGGCACAGTAACAAATAATGAAAATTATGTTTAAAAGTCATTGATTGTATTTTGATATTCAATAACTACCTTTAAATGGTCTGCATTCTTTACTTGTGTGGATAAGGTATAAATATTCAAGTAACAATCAAAGTTGATTTGATGATTCATTAAGGCCGTACTAATTCGGCACCGTATTTATTTTTCATTAAAAGAAAGAAAACCTTAACCTTACAGAATTACCTTCCTTTTTTCAATGGAAAGCTTGTTTATGATTTTTACGTTACGACTATCTCGTTTGTGATACAATAAAAATATGCACATTTTTTTTCAAAATAAGTAACAAGGAAAACTAACCTCGAAATAATTCCCGCCAAAAGTGTGTGACTCAATCAAGGATGTTGCAAAAAAGGCGGACATGTAATCTCTTGAAACAACGGCTGTGGCACTTGGCTACTATATACCTACACGCAGAATACACACACATATACATGCAGGACATCTGTCGCGTGACATGGTCCGTCATCACTTCATACAATACAGAGTTGTAAGTACAGACACACATAACTAAACTAACAAAATTACACATTTAGCTTATATTATAAAACTTTAATAAAGTTATATACAAAGTAATAAGCTAGTTGAACCCAAGAATTCCCCGTTAGACATCATCTCTACTTTAAGTCAATAGGGATGATGACAGGGTATTAAAATTAAAAATATAATTAGTCCGTCAGTTAGGTAATGAAAACATATTAGACACGTATTTTTTATGTCGTATAAGAAAACGATACTTAGTTAAAACGAATTAAAGTTTAGGAGCGGGAAGGTAGCAACGTCATTTTAGAGTTTAAATCGTACTCAAAAATCTTCGAACCTATTCGTTTCCGAAAGAAAATAAAAAATACGGGTCTAATGTTTTTTAATAATCTACCAGACGGACATTAAATCCATAATACTTATTCTTTGTATTGTAATATAATAAAATATTAAAAGCAATTTTTAGCATCGGTATATAACTATAAATAGATAAAATCGGGCATCAAAGTTATTGACTTTTTAGTGTAATTGACTGTAAAGTCTAGTTGTAAAAGATGTGAGAAATAAATAGTGCTATAAAAGACTTAATTATTTAGTACGGAACATCAGTTTTGCATGCGATAAAGATTAAAGCTGAGTTCACAATAAAAGATAGGGTACCTATATAAGTTTATTTAGGTATACATATCGTTGTATCTGCTAAGGCAGTCAATTAAAACATATTGATGGAAAATATATGAATGCCATCATGTATGCCCCATGGCATAGGTACATAGGCATTCACTATGGCAAAGTAAAGTTCCCATTATCCGCAGTCACACGCTTTAAGTTTTTGTTAAATTAAGTATACTATTAGGAAAGTATGGCCGTTTAAAAAAAACGGACACAGTCTCCTGAAACAACGATTGTAGCACCTTTTTTTGAGGGGGAAAATCATCCAATGACTTCTCGCGCCCGGGTGAGGCGAGAGGGAGTGTCAGACTCTTACTGACTAAAAGCCACCCCGTTCCTACTCCTGCACTTCGAGCCGAACGACTGTAGCACCAGAAGGACATCCATCATTTTCTTAAGTCTGGCAAGGTGGTAACCACACACGCACACAGAAAAAAACTGACATTTTGTTGCTACACAAGGAACAGGTCAGGTGTTGGTCAGATTAACGGGAAAAGACCTCGTAGTCGTTCACCTACCCGGTGGTTAGATGCTGTAAAAATCCTAACCGGCCGCGACCTGACAGTTCCACAAGCCATATAGACCGCAGAGGACAGCGGCGTTTGGAGGAGGGTTGTGCATCAAGTGACGCGTGCACCAGAATAAACACGACGTTCATTACTGAAGAGAACGACTAGGAAGAAGATTTTGTTGCTTCCATCGTTTCTAAGTGGCATTATGTTCGTCTCTTTTTTAACGTCCTTGGTATGAAAGTATACTTCCTCACACTTCAATTAATACACAAACTGCAACATGGAATACGATTTTCATCAGTCTAAACACATGACAATGTGATCTCAGCTCATGACAGTGCAGAAGTTTTTAAAGTCAAAGTCTTTAAGTAATCCTGTTATCGGAGAAACAATTCAATATGGTTGGATAACGCCGGTAGTGTGTACATGATATGCTATCGGAAGATAGAAATCTGCTTCAAATGCTTGTTTAGTAATTAAACAATGTTCTTGATGATTGTTGCGACAGTTCCTTGACCAATAAACCCTTGTTTTCGTAATGAAGTAGCGTCCTATGATTGGTCAATCACTTCGTCCTTGGTAGGTCTTTGAGGTTGGTTTATTGACTTGGAAAGTGCTTATATAGTAGTTGGTACGGAATGATATAAGTTGCCTAAATTTACGAGTTATGTTTTTGCTAACCTGGTCTAATTTTATTAACTAAAAATTAAATATGGTATACAATAATCTTACCTAAACCCATTATAAGAGGTATTCAGGATTTCATTCATATTATATTAAAAAACAAATTATATGAACGAATTGCACAAAAATCTGCAACTTTATTGTTGTTATTTGGTTGTATTCGTTGTTGTTTTTACAGGTTTGTCCAAATTCACTTAATATAGGCCTGTCCAATTGGGTTTAGTTCGTATAATACGAAATTAACAAAATAAAAAGATGCTGAATACAGATAAAATAATTATTCCTTCAATTAACATATTTATAAACATGTATCACAAATAGTAAAATGATTACAGTAATCATTTCAGACATCTAACATTTACATTCTTTATTATATTAAGTAGCAGAGATAAGACAACTTTTAACATATTCGCTACGTCTTGGTCTTCAATTGTGTATTTTAGGCGTATACATATTTAAAGTTTAGATTAGATACTAAATTATAAATTGGGTTTCAATTTCTATTCTAGAAATTAACCTGAAAAATGACACCAAATTAAACAAGAAACAACAACTTTGTTATTTTTTTAATTTTTGTGTCTATTTATAACAACCTATTTCATGTTATAGTATACGGTCCATACATACATTTACAAAATATAAATTACCAATGTATTTCGTTAGACCACTTTTTTATGCCCCAAGAAAGCGAAAATTGTACGTGTCCTCGTAATATATTTGGCAATTGTTCCGTGCCCAAGTTTCTAAGTTTTATAGCACTTGAAAAGACAATTTCTCAATGTAATCTAAAGTAGTGGAAGAAGAATCAAACTTTTAACTCAATGTAATCAAAAGACATAAAGTTTTTGAAGCTTATTTGATACTCTGATTATGCGTCACTGCCTACACTGCAATCAAAATTGACCGAGGCACGGTAATTCAACATTTTAACAGTCACCTTCAACAGTTTTCTTCTGAAAGTTAAAGACTACGGCTGAAATTAATAACCGATCTCAATTCAAAATATTTTTATTAGAAATAAAGAAAGAAAGAAAGAAAAAGCATATATTTGACAAGTAAGCACACAAATACAAAAAAATTAAAAAATAAACATAAAAATATAGTTATCTATATATGTATAATATTATATATATTTAGGTCGATTACTGTCAAAAACCTTGAGTTATTCAGAAAATTTTGAATTAAAGCCTGTTGTCAATTCCAGTCGTTCAAGAAGACAGATTACGTGCATGGGTTTACCTATTATAGCAATATAAAAGTCTTAAGATTAAAATACGCATGTCAATTTGTCATTCTCAGTAGGTACATCAGCCTTATAACACACATTCATTGAAATGTTCTTATTCCACCAGGATGACCAGTCACTGTCCCGGACCATGGGGTCTGTGGTGCTCCAAGTGGGAGCTCTGGAGCTTCTTGCGAGGTATTCCATGAACTCCGGCAGAGCTACCAGCCTTTTGTCTTCTCTGCATGAGTTCAGAACGCAAGAGATGGAACTAGTTGGTGGAAAACAATGGAATTGGAAGTATTTGAGGGTAAGTCAGATTATCCATTTGTGTTACCTTTTCTATGTTCACACTTAGACGTAGGCCACATGGGTGACGCGCGGTCGACGTCACAATAATCTATAAGACTTGGGATAAGATATATTACAAAGTTATCTATGTGAGAAGGAGCCATGCTTTGGCACGAATGGGTCACCTCGACCGGAGTTATACCACGGCCTCACCGAAGACCGAGACCGAGACCTTCCCCAATTTCTGAATCCCCAACGATCCTCAAATTCCTAATCCCAAAAGACCGGTAACGCATTTGTAGCGCCTCTGGTGTTCCAGGTGTCTATGGGCTAAGCCGATTAGTTACCATCAGGTGATCCGTATGCTCGAAATGCACATTATTTATTAAACTAACAAAATTAACATGGAATAAACACCAATAAGTATTATATAATTATCTAAAAAGTCCTAATTATCTGAAAAGGCTACTCGCGTATGTTTTTTCTGTTTCTAAATGAAAATTGAAACATATTTCTCTTGTTTGCAGGATCAATTCGACCAAAAAGATTTAGAAGGACTCTATAGAAAATATGACGACAAACTAAGAGAAACACTGATATTTATTTATTTATCTTTACTAGTATTATTTTCAACCACACACGTAGTTTTAGTAGTTGCTAGCACTTTTTCCGAGGTAAGTGTCCAATTTATCATCCCTTATACATAATCACTGATTAAATGTAATATATAGAAAATTGATGAGTCTCATAAATGAGAAAAAACGTCAAAAAATGAAGGTTAATTGGGAAAAAACGGCGAAATGTTTGATAATTTTCGCTATCAATATAATATCGAAATTAGATAATATCAAAGATTTTTCTTTGATCGTTATCAAGAAGATAAAATCGTTCGATGTTTCGACTTGATTAAAACCGTTTGGAACCATTGAAACGACTTACTTCCTCGAAAATTCGATTAAGTCTACCTATATGCGCAAAAAGGCATAGGTGAAGCTAATATCAACTTTAAAATTAATGAAATAAAGCCGTATGTTCACAAGTGAGTCTAACGAATAGTAGTGACTTCTTACTCATTCATTGTCACCGTAAAGTGGCCATTAAACTCATTTTTCTTTGCACAAATATTTATTCTTCGAGCACCCTTCCAGGTTTCGACGGAAGACGAAAATTTAGCGAAAATTTCAACAAACGCGGTTTTCTTACAGCAAATACAGTCAACGTCAACATATTTAACTATGGGCATGTATATACTGAGGATAGGTATACCTATATTAACGTTATGGAAGACGTGTTACTATCCCATGAAAAAGAAATGTTTTTGGATGCCAATTCTTGTGACTTTCATTGTCACTTTGGACCTTGTGATTACAGGTAAGCTTATTCTTCATTTTACTTATTTATAAATCTCATTTTCTCCCGTTCTCGTGGGATTTTCAGGACTTTTTTGTCATAAGAACCTTCTCCTGACAATAATAAACAACAATAAAAGACAGCCAAATCGATCTAGCCGTTCTTAAGTCACGGCTTGACAACGGGCAACGGGTTTCATTTATATATTAGTTTAAATTTTATGTAATCATATAGGTATATTTATAATGTAAATATTTAAATTATACAGTTTATACAGGCTGTCTAGTAAATAGTACACCATACTGTAAGCAGCGATAGCTGGAATCAAAACCTACCTATATAACTGAATGTATGTTCAGCGAAAATTTAGGAATTAAAAAATCCTTGACAGTCACATCTTTTAGCATATCTCAGTATATATAATTTTATAAATAATGATATAATTTTTAAACTGCACTTTTTCGCTGAACACAAATTCAGTTGTTTAGGTAGGTATTGATCCAGCTTAACCCCTTACAGTATGGTGCACTATTTACTGGACATCCTGTATATGTTTTGTAAGCCCAGAAATTCATTTAATAGTTATACTTTTAATGCACAGACAAAATATTCGTTTGCCAAAATATGTAAAAGCTTCCTTATAAGCGTAGTGTTGTAATACTACACACAATTTTCTAATCGATTCAAATAGAATAGTAAAATACTTACTATTGTTAAGGAAACTTATTAATGCATATTTGCACTTCTCCGGCGCGGAAAAGTCATTCGATGAGTTTCCGCCCTTAAAAAAATACTTGATCCTCTCTATATCTTTTGTACCAATTTTATCGAGTTGATGATGTACTTAACTGTAATTTAAGAAACATAGGTCATATATGTAACTACCTCGTTCGCCGAGTGTTTGCAAGTGCGATTGCTGGGCAAGGGGGTCTCGGGTTCGATTTCCGGGTCGGGCAACGTATTAACCCATAAATCCCCAAGCGGTCATCGGTGACCGCTTTCCCCTAATATTACATTACATTATAGACCTTATTTCTAATGTTTAGAGAATACTTTTGTATGACCAAATTTAGGGGATGGATATCAACGGGTTAATGGGTTATAAAAAAATTCTCAGTGGTAGCACGATAGTCTGATATTGTGCCCGGTATATAGCAATAGGCTCACCCTCTATTACATGGGACTCATAAAATAAAAAGTGAAAAGTGTCTATTACATGGTACAGTGGCATAAAGTGCCATAATGTGCACCTCTGCCTACCCTTTCGGGGATATAAGGCGTAATATTATGTGTACCTAATATGTGTGTATGTATAAGTGATATAACTCAAACATTGCTTACGGACCATCACAGAGTGCTATCTCTATGAAAACTGATCGCCTGAGAGATCATCGTTGTCCCAAACGAATATTTTTGTTTTCCCTCTATGCTAACCTCTTACCCTCAATAACATTTTCTCTTATTACCAGATATCGCAGTCAGTATCTACAGCTCCTTCGAGGGTATCTCCCTAAGGCCGGCCTACTCAACCATGGCCCTACTCTCTAACTATATCTTCCTACCAATGAGAAACAACTTTTTGGCAATCATCCTCGGTTTCCTCGTCAGCATCATCTACGTACTAATATTTGCCTTCTTCACTTACGATCAGGATCCTGAAATCGGTATAGTGGTAAGTTATTTTTACGGTTTATAAATATTAAATTAAATAAAAATCTCGGGTTACTCGCGTGAATATACTGAGAAAAGGTCTACTAGTTTCGATCCACAGAGAGGTGGTTCCTCATGAGCAGCGTGCGCGGTCGCTTCGATGTCGCGCAGCCTACTAGTTCTGTGGTTCAAAACTAGTAGAGCTTTTCTCAGTATATTCACGTGAGTAACCTGCGATTTTTAGTTAATTTAGTATGTCTCACGATAGTTATTATTTTATATATATTCTTTAATTTTTGTAATTACTCTCAACAATAGCTCGTGAGCAATATTAAATTAATTAAAAACATAATATACTATTCGAGTAAACTTTACTCGTTTCAAGTAAGACCAGGGGGCTTACTCTTGAATCCAATTCCGATCGATCGACATTGGTATTGTGAAATTTCGGACTCTTGAGTTCCAACACTAGTGTCCATTGCATTCGTATTGTGTAGATATTTAATGAACTAAATGGTATATTGAGTTTGGCTTTATATTCCATAATCTGTATGCAATTTTAATAGTTACGATAGGAGTGTATAGTTTTGACATAATAATTATTGAGATTTTATTGGATTGAAATTGAGTTTTGTGAGTAACCCGCTACGTTTAGTTAATATACCAAATACACAACTTTTATAATCTTGTTGAATCAGAATGAAATTGTGTTTACGAAATATTTAAAAAAATATAACAACAATAATTAATCAATGAGATAATAATAGTGATGTAATAGGTAGATAAAATGGACCTTTTAAAAACTTTTATCAACGAGTAGGTATAGTGAATGTAGAAAAGAAAACAGAGTTTTACAATTTCAACGTTTGTAGTAATATCATCGATATCTTTTTAAAATCAAGAATAGGTTTGGTGTACACAGTGAGGAAGGGATTTTTAGGTTATTAAATTTAATAATAACTACGATTGCACAAATATGACCTTACTCGACACTTTTTTAAATCATCGAATGACTTCTCCCGCCTGGGTGAGACGGAAGAAGTCATTCGATGATTCCCCTCTCGATGAGACCCTCCCGTGTCACTCTTACTGACTAAAAACCACCCGGGTTAGGTTCCCCACGGCTCTGTATCGGCATTAGTCCTATTAGGCCCCATCCGTGGCGGTCTGATGGCTCTTTAAAGCGCGCGCGGAACGCGACGAGCCGTACGCTCGGGTCTGGTTCTGGTCAGGCGGCGAGCCACACATGCTCGCCGTCCGCAGGCCCGACCTTACTCGACACTAGCGCCAAATAAAGAAAATAAAGTCACGTGGCAGCAATTACAATATTTAATTCAAAGATTATTCAAAAATCTGCTTTGGATGTATAATATTCACTGTGAATATATAATTATAATTAATTCTATTGAATTGTGCATTTAATTTGATTAATTCATTCTGACATTGAACTCCAGTTGCTTACGAAAAGTAAAGAATGACACACGTTAGTCTATCAACAAGATTTTCAATTTTATCCTTTGCTTTATTATTAATATCTATAAATTCTATTATTGCTATGATTATCGAAATCTAATATTATTGTAATTTGAAGTGTGAGGTCCAAACTACAAGCTAGATACCATCAACTTTTATAATTGATTGTTATTGTCCTGAGCACCCACTTACAACAGATTAATAAGTGGTAGCGGATTATGTTATCAGTGACTCGAACAGGTTTTTTTAAACTGTTTAATTTTGAAGTCATTGTTTTTCTTTTAAATTATCAGCTAAGATATTCATAGCACTAATTAAAAGAGTAAACGATTATAAAAATAAGGGTGGATTCTGCTTTATTCTGAAAAACAACACAGACTTCCTTTGTCGTTTATTTGTTAGTGTTTGTCTTCTTTTATGGTCGACATTCATAACTGATCAATGCTAATTCTTTGAACCTACGTACCTAATTTTTTGACAGACCTTCAAAAATAATACCAAAAATTATATTTTAATTCATTTTTTTAATATTAACTCGTCGAGTACCGGTTTTGTAGACACAATTATAGAACAATAGGTTGCGGTCACCGGTGACCGCTTGGTATTTGACAGTTTAATATAGAAGATTTTAAGTGTGGGAGAGCCATGCTTCGGCACGAATGGGCCGGCTCGACCGGAGTGATACCACGGCCTCACAGAAAACCGACGTGAAGCAACGCTTGCATTGTGTTTCGTCGCGTGAGTGAGGTTACCGGAGGCCCAATTTCCCTCCCCTTCCCCAATCTCCCCAATCCCTGAATCCCCAACAATCCTCAAACTCCTAATCCACAAATAGCCGGTAACGCACTTGTAACGCCTCTGGTGTTCCAGGTGTCCATGGGCGACGCCGATTGCTTTCCATCAGGTGATCCGTCTGCTCGTTTACCGGCTTATGCCATAAAAAAAAAAAAAAAAAAGACGAGTGGTCGCAAGTGCGACTGCCATCCAAGGGGTCTCGAGTCTCGGATTTGCCCGGGTCGGGCAAAGTATTAATGACTTTTTTTAAATCTCGTATGTAGCACAGAGTCTGGAATTGTGCCCGGTATATGGCAATAGGCTCACCCCTATTACATGGGAATCATGACATAAATAGTGAAAAGTGTGTGTTACATTGTACAGTGGCATTAGATGCCGTAATGTGCACTTCTGCCTACCCCTCTGATAAAAGGCGTGATGTTCTATAATTATTTTACGTAATGTAGACTGTCAGGATACCGCCTAACAAATCAGTCAACATCGCATATCCCTTATTATCCCTATTTAACCCTTCAATAATTTAATTCTCTTCTAGATTGCGTCAGACATCATCTACCTAATCGGAGTTAATCTGATGGGAGTTTACTTTCGATTGATGAACGAAATAGTCACAAGGCGATCTTTTCTGGACAGGAGAGCGTGTGTCGAAAGCACTCTCAGACTTAAATTCGTTAAAGATCAAGAGGTAAATATTTTGTTTTGTTAATATTAGTAGGTATTACTTTTTTATGGAATTGGAAGTAAACAAGCAGACGGATTACCTGATGGTAAGCGATCAGCGCCGTTCATGGACACGCGCAACACCAGAGGAGCCATAGGTGGCAACGCACCTTTTAAAAATGAATAAACTTTATTCTTGCAGGTTTGAATTACTTATTGCTTTTGGAGACCCAACCGCACTTTTTCCTTCCTTCTCTTATTCGCTTATTATATATTATTTGGTTATGTTCCTATGTCAAATGCTAACTTTATACTTCAGATTCTACACGACTGTTATTAGTATCAGACCTACTTATTTATTTCTTAAGTACACTGTCATTATTGTTTTTGTTTTTCGGGATTCACCCGTTTATTAGTAATTCTATCATGTGTTTTATTCTAATTCGCAGTGGACATTACTTGCTATTGTTTTGGTATTTTCCCCTTTTACGAATTACATAAAAACACAGGTAAATTATCTAATCACAGATAAGCGCCATCTACTTACTACATTCCTAGTGATTATCCAATAAGAATCGTTTTGATATTCATTTGAATATCATAATCTCTTAGTTTCGTTGTAACAACAACCTGGTTTTTCTCCGAACTAACTTCGGGGGTTTATCTTTCTATTTGTATTTATCCTTTCTTTTATTTTCCTTCCTTCCTATTCCTTACTTACTACCTACTTAATGGTCATTTAGTTTCTCACTATTATGATAAAGTTGGATGTATGTAGTTCATAAATGTACTCTTACAGGAACGCTTGATGATGAGCATCTTACCAGAACACATTGTGTCCAAAGTCCGCCAAGACATCAGGAACATGTTCATGGGCCTGAAAACACGTTCACTTAGTCAGAATATGAAATCTTTCAAGTAAGTTTCAAGTTTCACTCTACCCAGTCATTGTTAAATTTTTTAACGTAAATCAGCAAGTGAAGAAAATTTATAGATTATTTTTGGTAAGGTACTTTCGCTTGTTTGCGTGCACCCTACTAAAATTCTCTTGTTTGCGTCCATTTTACGCATCGCTATGAATGTAAGATACTTCGCGAGAAATCGCGAATATGTCAAACAGATTTGTATTACATAAACACTACTTACATAGTGATAGTTTTCATATTTTCGGTAACTTTTATAGGGTGTTCCGTAACATGGACGCGAATAAGCGAACTTACCCTATCTCTTCTTGAAACTATTGCTACTTAATTAATATGAACAGATTTATGCCATAATATCTTGCTGACCTTCAATGCCAAACCAATTTAATACTTAATCAAAGTTATCGGTCGTTTACAGCCAGCTTTACGTGGAAGAACACGATAATGTGAGTATTCTGTATGCCGACGTTGTCAATTACACAATGATATCAACCACGTTGGCTCCAATGAGGATGGTAGAACTGTTGAATGAACTGTTCGGGAGGTTCGACGAAGCTTCTGAGGTAAGATCATACCACAAAGTCTATAAAAATCGGTTTGAACTAAAACACTCTAAAACTGACACAAACTAATGCACTCATAAAGTAAATTTTCCAAGAAGAAATTAAGTTAGCTTCGATTTCAGGAATACGATGTTCTAAGAATAAAGTTCTTGGGCGACTGTTACTATTGCGTCAGTGGAATCCCGAAGCCCACAGACCAACACGCCAAGAATTGCGTTGACCTCGGCTTGGAAATGATCCACATAATCAAAGACGTCAGGTATACTTTCTTATTCTTTTATAACAAATATTTTTAGTAAGTGCACTACCAATGTATGTTAAATTACAATTTAATGCACATGCACGATAGGACGTGCATTATAGCCACAATTCGCCGACACACACGATGCGTCAACGCTCTTAATAGCCAGCAACAACATAACAAAAAATAAGTTATATTTCAAAAACAAACTTATTTAGGCCTCTCACAATGAAAAATGGACAATCCCAGCTACTTTCAGACTCATTACATTAAGTTTATAGATTAGATAAACAATCATTTTAGGTTGCATTTTGTAAATATTAGTTTTTGTATCTTTAACTTCCACATTGTCAATTTCAATATCATTTATTAGTGCAGAATACACCCAACACGATTTGTTCTTTGTAAAGTGGGAGTGGTCGTTGATAGTGATCTAAACAATCGCGATACTACTAATTCGAAGAATCTTTGTTACTACCGTATATTTTGATACGTTCATTTCACGATAAGGCTTATTCCTATCATCGGAAAGGCGTACAATATCAATGTAACAACGATATTGAAATATAATACTTGGGGATTAAAGCGAAGAAGTAAATACATTGGATGTTGGTTTTGAATAAAGTATTTAGAAACGCAGACGTTTCATTAGAAGAACATTGTGGTTTCAAGGTTGTTGTAAATCTGTAGGAGTAGATTGTGAATTTTAAAAATTAATAATTTTACAGGGAAAAGCGTTCACTGAATATTGACATGAGAATCGGAGTCCACTCTGGGAAGATCCTCAGTGGACTAATTGGTATCAGAAAATGGCAGTTTGATGTTTGGTCGAAAGATGTTACAATAGCTAACAAAATGGAATCTACTGGCAAGGCAGGGTATGTTTTCACTTTGAACTCGTTTTAATACAATAATAATAAAAATAAGTTTGCAGATAAACCGAATTCTTTTAAATAAC